AGCAGGGAGCCCGATGCGGGGCTCGATCCCAGGACCTGGGATCATGACCTGAGCCGAAGGCAGACGCTTAACGACTGAGCCACCCAGGCGCCCCGGGCCTTCACTCTTGTTGGCTGTCTTTTCCCCCCTGCCCAGACGTCCTGCGAGCTTCAGAAAGGTCTACCCCGAGGCCACGGTGATTTCCAGCAGACCAAATGAGAATCTCTCCTGCGGCTTGGGACAATTCTCTGGGAGTTCCTCAGGCCCTGCATGACATCTTTCTGTATGCTTAGAGGTCAAAGGTGCTTTAATGTGCATCTGATCCCTCACAGGTTGTTCAAGCAGCACCCATCTCCCACCCTCACTTCAATCCGAGCAACTCCAACCTCATCTGCTTTAGCCACCAGTCCTTCAGATAAAATGGAGTTGGAAGGGTCCAGTCCCAATGTTTCAAACTAAAAGCTGAAGACCACTGACTTAACGCAACCCCTTTATTATTCACAAAGGGGACTGAGGTGCAGAGGAGACAAGTAATCTGCTCAAGGTCATACAATTCTTCAAGGAGCAGAAAAAACACTACAGACTAGATCTCTAGTCCTTGCTTTCTGGGGTGGCAGCTAAGATGAGTGCCCCAGACTTGAGGCTATAGCAGCCTCGGATGACCATAGGCATCTCCTGATGCATTCCGGGAGGCTCTCTGCTGATCGCTAATATGGAAGTCCCCTTCTCTCTACTCGACCTACAATCCCAGTGAGCACTAGGGTTTAGCCATCAGTAGCAGAGGATCCTGCTGTAGAGAATTAAAGAAGCCTGCCCCCATGGTCACCCAAAGCTTTGGATGCCCCACAAGCTCACTCTGCTTTCTGGGCCTCCTCTCTCCTTCTTCCTTTCCAAAGCCCTTCTAGTTCTTCTCCCACCCTCCTGCCTGATTCTTTTTTCTTTTTCCTCCACTTAACTTTGATTATATTGGAGCACTTTAAGCCCAGCACCCTTCTGCGTTCCTCTTGTGCTCATGGTAAGGTTCAAAGTTCATTATCAACAGAAATTTCAGCAAAAGGGGACTGTGTGTATAAAAAAGAGAAAGTTAAATGACAGCAAAAACTTGTTTACAATAAAATGGTCTAAATGTAGTGTGCACTTACGTAAACCATATGAAGGGGCGCCTGGGTGGCTTAGTCGGTTAAACGTCTGCCTTCGGCTCAGGTCATGATCCTAGGGTCCTAGGATCGAGCCCCGCATCAGGCTCCCTGCTTAGTGGGGAGCCTCCTTTTCCCTCTCCCTCTGCCTGCTGCTCGGCCTGCTTGTGCTCTAATAAATAAATAAAAAAATCTTGAAAAAAACAGGTTCTACACATTCTGCTCCCTTGCCTGTTTAGACTGCCAGACTGTTCTGCACGCTTCTGATAAAGTCCTGATCTTGCTTCATGACACAGCTCACTTCCCTTTCCCATTTGGTTTTCCCTAAGTACTTTGTCAACAGCCTACTGTCTAGTGCCCTCAGTCAGCACCTCATCAAAGACAATTATATCTAGGGAGCTTTGGTTAATTATTACCACTGCTCCTTGCATGTGTGCATATGCATATCATCATTCCCTGATTAGACTGAATAATGACTCATTCCCTGGAGCAGTGGTTTCCATAAATGACCAACCTGAAGACCAGTGTGAACTGGCTGTAAAATATTCTCCCCTGAGGAACTTACTAAAATGCAGATTGTTGGACCGCATGGGAGAAGAGCTCATAAATCCGAGTGTAGACATACAGAACACAGGTTTAATATGACAATGATGGGTGGGGACCCTGGAATCAGCACTTTTAACAAGCTTCTAGCTGATTTTGATGATACTGACGAATTGCCGGGTTGGGAACTGCTGCCCCAGAGAACCTGGCACAGAGCTCTGTACCTAGAACGTGCTTACATGTCGTTAGCTATATGTCTCTGGACTGGTAATTAACTTGATCATAACATTATGGTTGTATTATACCTGTGTTCTGTTTCCCTAAATGAGGAAAGAATACTGTTATTTGAGTACTTAATAGGTATCAGATTCTGTGCCTATTTACATACATTATCTACTCCTTATAATAACCTTTTGAAGTAACATGGTATTCATTGGGCATGAGAAATCTGAGCATCTAAGGGACTAATTTTTAGTGCACGATCTACAACCTGACTTTTGACTTAATGGGCTCTAAGTCCATAACCTTTCTACTTGCCAGAGGGCATAGACTGGTGGCTTGTATCTAGCTTGCAGATAGGCTTTATGTGAGCAGAACAATGTTTAAAATTTTTTAAACATTAATCATCGACATTTGTAAATTGGGCATTTTGTATTAAAATCTGGATTACTGGTTTCTCTTTAGGGGTTAAAAAAAGATATGGTAACACGGGGGCCCACCTTCCTGCATGGCAACAATCAAATGGAGCCTTGGGATGGATGTGTGCTTGCATAGTCCCACTACTCTGCATTCTCACCCATGGCTGAACCTGTTTCTCTTATACTCTGTTCTGAAACCAGGGTCCTATAGGCCTCTGAGTTTGCAATTCTTGCACTCTTATTTACTGTCTTGCTTTTCGTTGTTCAGGAAGTTTGGCAAACCTAAAGACATCCTCTTTTTATTTGCACTGTCTTGTATGAGTCTCTGATCATAGGGGTGGGTGTGTGCACTTCTGACTTTGTGATGTCAATACTAAGGAATCAGCTGGTACATCATCGGGGAAACTAGGATCCTCTGTTCCCTAAGCTATACATTCTGGTTCTGGACTAGTAAAATCCTATATACAACCCTTAAAATAGTTGGAGGAAATGTGGCAATTCACCAATTTGCTTCAATTCAATTGTGTCCGCAATTACGAAAGGCCAATGCCACCAAGTGGTAGAGTTGCATGTGGAAATGCTACCCTCAGCCAGAGAGGCTGGGAGGCCAAAAACCTCTCTCAATTTAAAGGACCATTCAGAAACTAGAAACAAAATGCTTACCCATCTCCACAGGCTGGTTCTTTTCAAAGTTGTCCTCTAGGGTGTCTGGGTGGCTCAGTCAGTTAAGCATCTGCCTTCAGCTCAGGTCATGATCCCAGGGTCCAGGGATCAAGTCCCATATCAGGCTCCCTACTCGGCGGGGAGTCTGCTTCTCCCTCTCCCTCTGCTTCTCTCTCTGTCAAATAAATAAAATCTTAAAAAAAAAAAAAGTTTGTTCTTTAAAGAGCCAGAAACACAGACTGGCACTTTAGGAGCCATGCTTTATTTTGTATCTTTTTTTAAAAAGACATTTGAGAGAGAGAGAGAGAGAGGGAGAACACAGAGGGAGAGTAAAAGGGAGAAGCAGAATCCTCGCCGAGCAGGGAGCCTGATGCGGAGCTCCATTCCGGAACCCTGGGATCATGACCTGAGCCAAAGGCAGACGCTTAACGACTGAGCCACCCAGGCGCCCTATTTTCAATGACTTTCTGGATTCTTTGTTTCCTTAAACAAGCTACCACTGCTCCTGATTCAACATGTTTCATTCTATACATTTTTAATGTGTATTCCCGTTTTTGAGAATTTGAGCAAAGAGCTATTAAATTTTTTAGCATTGGAATAGCAAGAGTAAAAAAACCTCTTGGCAAAACATGATTGAATCTCATGGAGGTTGGATTCCACATTCATTGAGCATTTACCAAGGAACTGCCAGGCTTTTGTATACTTCATTTACTTAAGATAAGGCCGAGAGGTAGGCATCTATTTTTTTTAAGATTTTATTTATTTGAGAGAGAGAGAGAGACAGCGAGAGAGGGAACACAAGCAGGGGGGAGAGGGAGAAGCAGGCTTCCCGCCGAGCAGGGAGCCCGCCCGATGCGGGGCTCGATCCCAGGACCCTGAGATCATGACCTGAGCCGAAGGCAGACGCTTAACGACTGAGCTACCCAGGCACCCCGGTAGGCATTCTATTTTTAAAGATAAACAAACAGGAACTGAGGGTGAAGGACCCACTGCCAAGTGCTTCCTTGGCGACCTCCCAGAGAGACAACCCAGGGATATCCCTGGTTTCTCAGCGCCCCCTAGAAACCCAGGATCATTTTGTGGCATTATTCAACGGTAAGTCTTCCTCTTCACCTTCTGTCTTAATCTGCAAGAAAATGATTGTTAATACCTCCTTCATCAAGGCTCCGTTCACTACCAGCTTTCATACACACCCCCTCCCCCTATGCCAGTGCCTTCCAAACAATTTCCTAACAGGGATGTGAGCAAGGTTTAAATCAATTCACCTGGTCACTGCAGGGATCTTGTTCTACCTTCAACAGTTTCCATTCTTTTGGAGATGGAGCATCCACTCTATATCAGGTAGGTATTATTCAAGTAGGAGAATTAAACAGGGTCACAGAGAGAAAGGCTAAAAAATTTGACTTTTTTGGTGTTTACTTGTATAGAGGAAAAACAGCACATAGATGCATCCACAGTATTTAATTTGTTTGGATAATAGTTACAGATAAACAGGTACACTCCATATACAATTACCAATACTTTTTTATACAGTTCATATTTCAGTACATCAACACTATTTTATTTACACTCTATTTATGTACATTAACATCTTTCTAAAGTCAGTGCATTGTCAACAAGTTTTATACAGTAATTTACAAGGTGAATGTAGTTAATAGTTAATTTAATAAATTTTCTGCTAGTCATGAATTAAAAAATTAATTACAACCAATATAACAAACACAGATCAAACAACATTAGTAGATTGTGCTACCTGCTTAAATAAAACATCTGTAAGGAAATTATTTTAAATCTTCCACTTTTTCACGGGACTTGTCCAGGTAGAAATGGACAGATTTTTATATACTGAAATCATGAAACTATAAAGCCTGCATTTTGTCTGACTTCATCATATTTTACCATTTAGGCCACTCCTTCCTACTTGTAATTACAGTCTTTTTCTGAATAGGGTTTTAACTTAGGTATCCATTTAAAACAACCTTTCCAAATGCTCTGAGAAGAACTGGATAATAACCTGCCTCAGGTATCAGAACACAAATGCTTAATTACATTGGTAGCTACTATCCATGAGGAAGGAAGGTTAATGAAATCTGACAATTAATGAGAATCACTTCCAGGGTCCAGATGAATAAAAAAAGAATGGAAAAAAAAAAGGAGGGGGGAATATTTACTTTACATATATTTAAAAACAACACAGGGAAAAAAATGCTGCCCAAAATAAATAACATTTATACTTTTGTTCCAGTTTTGAATTATCAGAGGAAAAAAATGAAGCGAGCAAAGAAACGTAACTTTTGATGACCACTACTGTGAAATTATTAAAAAAACAAAGAAAAAAAAGACAAACACCAAAAAAACCAACAAAACAAAACAAAAAACCCCAAAGAAATGGACATGCAAACAAAATAAAAGTTTACTTCCTAAACCCACCAATTAAATAAAAAATACATACTATCAGTGTCTGGGATGTGTTTTGTTTTTAAATTTAATATGATGGGGAAAAATACCCCCTATTCAAGTTAATTTATAGCCCTTACAGCCATCAAATATGAACATGTTTTAAAAAAGTCCATTTGCATGTATTCTCTTTTTTTAAAGTGCAAAACAAAGAAACAAAGAACAAACAACCCCTAGTTGTAAAACACCATCTAGCTTTGATGCCACCTTCCCTCTCAGAAGCTCTTGTGCAACGTGGGCATGTAATGATGGTGCAAATATTGGCAACTTTCCTACTGTGCTTCAGCAGGGGTGGGGGATCCATTTCTGAGGACACTTGAAGTATCCTCAACGTAAGATGCCTCTATGTGCAGGGCTACTTTAGCTGGATTTCCCAGGATGCTTTTTTTCCCCCTACAGGGTCTCCGACCATGGCCCTGGGTAGAAGGCACACAGCTCTTGAGAGAGTCTCCCTTCCGAACTGACCACTTCTATATGCCTCTGCCACGAATGACTGGTTGTGTCTCAAACACGAACACAACAACAGAAACGAAAAGCAAGAGAGGCATAGAAAGAGTGGGGGAAATGGTTTTAAAAATAAATAGAAAAATGTGTGTCCATGCCAGAAGAATCCTTTGCACACCTTCTGATCTTGCTTTCTCCATCTTGTCAATATAATGGAATAAAACTTCAGGAAAAAGGAGGTAGCATATCATGTCGTCCCCAGACAACACTACAATTTTTTGTTTGACTTTGACTCCCAGGAAATTCTTAGCATTTTGTTATGGTTATTGGTAAACTCTACACTCACTACATGTTTGTTTATATCTGGACAAGCACAATTTAGTTCTTATTTGGTCCCAGGTGGCTGGTGCCAAACCCTTTTGTTTCAGGCCAATGGTGGGCTCTGTCTGAAAGTTCTCTACCAGAGAGCTCGTGTGAGACACTTCCAAACCAAAGTATTACTACTGTTATGTTAACTGCTATTTTAATTAGGATTTTTATTTTGTGCTTCAGGGTCACAGGATAAAATAACTACATTTAGCTTGCCTTTCAGCGACGCTTCTGCCAAATGTCAGCTACAGGGAGCCGTCCCCCTCACCACCAGCCTGCCTAGCAGCCAGAGCGGCAGCTCTACTGTAACACACAGTATTTTTTATAATCAGACTCAAAGTCTTCATCCATGCTGCTCGTGTCTGCCATCTTTTTGCCATCGATCTTTGGCAGAAATTGTGCATAGTCTATCCCCTGCTGCTCATAGAAAAGAATGTAGGCAGAGTCGGTGTCAATTTCATCTGGGTGAAGTTCCTGAAGGGGCAAGAAAAGCCTTTAATAAAAAAGCCGTCCCTATGCTGGCTCTTAATCCTTGCGAGGGAAGGGAGCACCAACCCTCTTTAATTACTAACCCAGACTGCTTCCAATCCACTTAATATTTTGGCTGCCTGGTACCTGCCCTAAAATAAGTCCTATTATTCTCAATGTTTGTTTTGGGGAAAATAGTCTGACCATTGACAAATAAGAAGAATGAAAACAAAATAAAGAAAAAACCATCCAATCCTAATAGCTAAAAAGATAAGAACTTTTTCTCATTAACCAATACCTTCTTTTTCCTCACCGTTCATGTTTTCATTCTCTACTCTGCACATCACTTTTGTTCCTTTAATACTGAAGGCACCTATATACTGACTCTAACAAAAATATCTATTTCCTATTTGGGACAAAGTCCATGATTTCAACAAATGTCCCCTAGATCTGTTGACATTTCTGTTTCTTTTATTCAAAGAGTGGGGATATTTACCTTACAGCTGCTGTCATTGTAACAGTACCACTTGCTGTTTGGGTTTTTGGCATAAGTGACATAATGGCCCCCGCCCAGAATTCCTGAATGGCACTGCAAGAGACAAGAAAGTAGAGGTATGTTAGTGGTTAACAGCAATCTGGCCAGGGCACAATACTAGGACCCAATCAGGAAAACACCAATCACTTAAGTGATTAAGAAAAATGTTTTGGAACCACCTACCCTTTTCTAAAAATAAAACAAAAAGAAAAGTCAAAATTTAAAAGCTCCAAATCTTACCATTTTATAGTTGTAACTATTTTTTAAAAAGCTAAAATTCCTTAGGTGTACATAACTATGAATGCCTTGAACCCGTGACTCCAATTATAATATTACATGATTATCCCCTGCATTACACTGGGAGCACCTTGGATTCTAGGTAGGCCAAGACCTACTGCTAACTTTGTTATCACCAAGTTCAATGCCTAGCAAATAAGGAGGCCCTGAAAAAATGACTGATGAATGAATGAAGATGAAGGAACCACAGAGTGCAGATCACTCTGAAAACCATGTAACCACTTACCGAAATTGCATATAGATTATAAATAGGCTTAACATGAACATCTTCTCTTTGGTCATTGGTGCTGTCTTCTTCACTGTGGTTTTCAAGCTGACCATTGCTGTAGCCATTGCCACATGCCTCATGCTCATAAAGAAATCCATTGGCCAGAGCTCCTTCATGGTCCTGAGGGGTGATCAGCTCAGTTTGGCTGCCCCCCAGCATGTGCCCTCGGCTCGAGGCATCAGCCAGCTCACAAACTTGTCCAGCCCCATTCTCTCTGCTGGCAACCAAGTTCTCCTTACTACTTGACAGTTTATTTTTGCTGCCGATCTGGGGTAGCCGGAGCCTCCCTTTGCTCCTCCCTAAAGTCCTAGGGCTACTGTTAGGGCTGCTATTTTTGCTGGAGGGACAGCTGGTTCCACTTTTTCTTGTTGAAGAAGGTGAACCTGTGAAAGTGAGAGAAGGACAAGATTCATAAATCCCAAATGCCACAAGTTTAACCAGCAGCCAAATGCTAACTTTGAAGCCAACTTCACAAGTGTACACATAAAGGTAAATACAGGGGTGTTCTGACCAGCTACTTTTTATTCCTATTATGTAGCCAATAAGTTCTTCCTCAGGCCAAGCTCCCACAGGCAGCAATGTCCTGAAAACATAAAGTACCATATAGGGACTTAAATATAGCAGAAAGATGAAAATAAAATAAAAACAAACAGCAGAAAGATAACTTCAGTCAGATTCAGTTCAAAACAATTAGACTAAAAAAAACCCCACAATTACACTAAGATGTATTACAAATACATATTCTCCTTTGTTAAATTAGATTAAAAGATACGATTGCCAATTATTAAGCACTTACTATTGCTAGGCACAGTATTGGGAACTCTCTCTACTATCTCTACCTCTCACAACAATCTGGTAAGGTAGTCGATCTCAAACTTTTTGGTCACAGCCTCCCTCACCTCCTTATGTACTCTCAAAAATTGTTGAAGACCCTAGAACTTTTTGTTTCTGTGGGTTATATCTATCAATATTAATATTAGAAATTAAAACTGAGGAACTAAAAAATACAATACATAAACACGTATTTCACTGAAGATATCATCACATATCATGGTGGCTCTTACTCCAGGCACATTTGTGAGAATAAAAGTTGAAAAGGTGAATATACTGTCTTAGTATTTTTTATGAAGAGTTCTACTCCTCAGGCCCCCTGAAAGGGTCTCTCAGTGACCGTCTAGGGGTTCCCAGATTATACTTTGGGAACAAGGATGACAATTATCATTCATGATCACCACAGATATCAGGCATATATGGTGTTTTGCTCTTGACGTAGCAAATCCTCAGACTCTGGGAACTTTATGAATGAGAAAATAGATTTAGGGAAGCTGCATCTCTTGCTAAAAGTGACACAGGTGACTCAGATCTAGATAGGTCTGATTCCGGATAGGTTCTTTCTATCTCACCAAGCTGTTGTTCCAGAGTGGAAAAAGAGGGAAACACGAAGCCTATAGGGGTCCCAGGAAAGCCCCTCTCAGGGTGACATCTGGGCTCCATGAGGCCCTCCAGGCTTCCTCACCTTTAGGGCTACTGATGATGTTTGCACTGAGTGAAGATGGGCTCTTGCTTAGGAGCACATCCTCTTCCCCAGCTGAATTCTGAGCATCCACTTTCTTCACGTCTCCTCCCGGAACCCTGGGCTCAGAGAGGTCATCCCCCTGGGGTGTGAGTGGTTTACGCTGACAGAGAGCCGGGTCTCTTGGTACCAAAAAAGCACTAGGGTCAAAACTTTCACGAGGAAATTTAACAATTTTCTGTGACTTTATCCATCGACCATTTACAAATTGAAATCGTTTAAGGTGAATAATCTGAAGAAGGAAAGGTAGAAAACAATTACGTTAAAAGGTTCAGAAGATACAAAATTACGTTTAAAAACCCCAAGTCTAATACATGTGAATGTTCAAGAATATATAATATTTTTTTTCAAAAAGAATATATCTTATTATGTAACAGAATTATCAGTGGGGCCACTGGCCTTTAGATGTATAGCTAACATGGTAATCTCCCTAATTTCATAACCTGTGCATATCCTAAATTCTTCCCAAATTTCTGCAACATCCTAGGAGCCCATATTTGCGTGTCTTCCTCTGCTTCCTGGACCTGTGACCCACACTGACCTTTTTCCAACATCATAGAAGATCCACTCACAAATATATTTCTGTCATGAAGACAGAAGACTATACTGAGTATTTTGAAGAAAAATGGATGAAACTTACCCAATCTCCAATAGGAGGCCTCTCATTTCTTACCATATCCTTTGGTTGTTACCAGAGAGTTTCACTGTCCTAAAGAACATAAGAATCTCCCTTTTCCTTTGTGGCTTCTCTTTTTTTTTTTTTCAAGAGCAACAAATTCCTCTAATCTTACACAGTGTTATTATACGATCTAGTGTGGGCACAGATCTTTGGGTGGCTACCTCTACCCTAAATGCTCACAATTTGCTGTGTATATAAAGAGAAACCCTTTCTAAGGGGCATACTCGTATATGGATCTACAGAAGCCCACCGAGCTCTCAATATAAAATTCATTCTTTAAAGACATAAAAAAACATAGCTTTTATATAAATGCCTTTACTGCATATGTTCTGTGTGATTTCACAGGCATATATAATTATCAAAACTCATCAAACTAGACATTTAAAATCTATGCATTTAATTTCATGTTAATTACACCTCAGTTAAAAAGAAACTTTCCCCCTTCCCACCCACCTGTCCCAAGCTTGCCCCTGCCCTTTTCCTTTCCTCCCAGAGTTCCCATCCCTGGAGCTGGCTGATTAATGTTATTAATTTCCTGTGCATCCTTTACTGGGAAGTTGTTCTGGTCCAAGGAAAGAAAACCTACATTTACCGTCTCATAGAGTAGTAGGAAGAAGACATGAAGAAAAAAATACACACAAGGTCTGGTTAAAATATACCAGTGCCTTACAGTTACATTTGATATGATACTTCCACCCTTAAGGAAAAATACTTTCTTAAATGAACAGGAAGATCTGGCACTCCAAACTCTCCTGACAAGCAACAGAAGCGTCTTCTACTCTATGAAGGAAGAAGGCAGTAGTAAATCACATGTAAAAGAACACATAGGCCCCGGAGCACTTGTGTGCTTGTGCTGTGGCCATGTGACCAAGCACAGTGGGACTGGAGACTCAGGCTCAGCTGCTCTTCTACAGAAGAGCCTAAGCTTCTCTCTCTAGAGCCAGAAGTGCGTTCACCTTCTCCTGAAGTTCAAATTCACCAGGACGCACACCTTATGGCGCTTCTCACACACTGCATTGAACTACAGTTAATGTTCTATATGACTTCCCTCTCCTTCTAGCCTGTATGCTCCTTCAGAGCAGGAACTGGGAGTAATAATATGTATAGAACAATTAATCTGTGTGCAACACAAAAACCTTGCACAGCCAAAGTGTTTTAAATACTGCCACAGGAAGAGTCTTCTTATTCTCAAAAGTAATAAAATTCCTATTTGTTCACGACTTCCTTCCTATATGCCAGGCTCCTCCTCTCTCAGAGGTAGGGCTGTAACATACCAGGATTGGGGGAAGCCTCCAGAGATCCAGCTTCTTGGTTGCCAAGCAGTGGGTCTTACACTTGGAACAGTAGTACATCTCATTTTCCCCTAGCTCCTCCTCACTGGTGAAAGCACGGAGACAGCTGTCCAGGTTGATGGGCTCAGCTTGTGCTTGTCGACTCTGTTCCACACTCTCATGCTCATCGACAACCTGCAGATGGAGGGAACAAGAGGAATGGCAGAAGGGGTGGGCGGGAGGGAAGGGGGGCATTAAAATGGTCCCATGGCTAGGCATCATCTGTTAGGTGACTCATTCTCATTTTATTCTACATGAGGAAAAAGAAAACAGGACTCAAACAAGTCTGAGCAAATGCAGTATTTGTACACTTACTTCCAAAATTACATCAATAACATCTTGGATCAAGTTTCTATTTATATGATCATAATAGCTTTTCTTGAAAATTCTCTGAACTCTTCAAAATGACAAAAACAAGGGATTGCCTGTTTGTTTTACAAGTTTTGAATTATAATGATATGTTTTATTTAATCCAATATATACAAAACGTATCATTTCAACATGTGATCAATATGAGAATTATTGATGACATATTTTAGATTCTTTTTTACTAAGTCTTTGGAATCTACAATACTCCTTCACTTGAATCAGGCACATTTAAGTGTTCAATAGCCACACGTGACTAGTGGCTACTTCACCTCTATTTTATAATTCTGAAGTCCTAAAAGAGCTTACATGTGAGCTCATCCTCAAGCCAGGGGTGTTGAGGTTAGGCCATTCATTTTCAACCAGAAAGGCAACATTATTAGTAGGCTGCAGGCTTTATAGGAGAAAAAATATCACTGGAACACAGATGCCAGATCTGGATTAAAATCAGAAAGGGTACAAAAAGCTCGCCATGAGAAGGGAACATATGAGCGTGAAACCCCACAGGATAAAACTCATTTGCATGCTGGTGCCATGTGAGAGAGTTATCAGAATACCATGTGTATCATCTATCCCCTGCCTCATGGGGCCTTTTTACCGGAGATGGCAATAAAGAGATGGCAATAAAAGCAACAGCGGGCTCAAAAAGTGCCTAACTTTGTCGAGAAGGCCCCTAATACCTGCCCAAACCTTTCTGGTTCTACTAACCAGCACACTAGGTGCAGGAGCAAGAAGGACATATGTATGAGAGAGAGAGCAGAGGGGGTAGGTGTGCAAGTATGTGTGTTGGAGGTAGTGTGGGATCAGCAAGAAGGGGAGGGGGATGTACCTAGAATGCAACAGACAAGGAAGAATTTTTCCCTCTCCCATTCTTTTTTTTTTTTTTAAGATTTTTATTTATTTATTTGAGAGAGAGAGAGAGCACAAGAGGGGGGAG